AATGTAAATCTATCGAAATAAATATTTTATCATTTCCGGTTACAAGTTGATAAAATTTATCTTTTACCGCGAATACTGTCATGAACATCGTTGCTAGGTAACAAAAATTAATTAAGTAATAATACTTGATGCTAGATAGTATAGTCAAGCAATTAAAATCATGTTCAATATATGTGTTTTAAATCGATGTAACAATAGAAACAAACTATAATTAATAATCGATTAAATTATTCGTTTCCAGACGACTTGAAACTGAAACATTTGCTTGAGGCAAATATTGGTCGAATGAATTGGAATTCCAATTCATAAATGTCACTTTGTCTACATTTTTTATTACTACAATGATGACGTAGGAGTTGCAAAATAAAATACGCGATGACATCATTCAAACTTATATTTAATACAATTGAAATTGCGCCAAAAGGAAGGTAACTTTTTGTATAACAAAGTAGTTAGTAAGAACCAATCGCCGAAAACCATATCGTTATCTCTGTTTTTCCAAAGAGAATGAGAGAGATGACACACGATTTTTTAACATGAGATTCTGTAGTAACTCATTGCATTCCCAGATAAGTTAGTAGTTTTGCTTCCCACGTTTTTGTAGTCATAGATATTTTACAAAACTACTAGTCAGTTTAAAAATTCATAAAACAAAATGTGACACACCTGCAAGCAAAACCTTTCAATCAAAAAAAAATCAAAATCGGAGCACCAGGGGCGGAGTTACGTGGTAACAAACATAACAAAAGAACATACAGACGAATTGATAACCTCCTTCTTGTTGAAGTCGACTAATGAGTACAGACTGTCTTTGGGGATTATAGCGATGTCATGTGTCTAGTTAACAAAATTGTACAAAATAGGTGTGTGAAGGTTGTAGAATACGTCATGCGCGTGATTTCCATACAAAGTTTTAAACAATTAGAGTTCGTGTAAATGCAGTCAACATCTTTGTGTAAAACAAATATATGTATTTGGAACACAATGTTAATCATGTAACAAATAAGACCCATTAAGGTCTATTTGAAACAGGTTCCTTGATGGAGAGATAATTTTGAAACATTACTCGTTCACATTTTAAATACTGATTGCAGATGAAGCTTAGAAGAAAAAAATGTATGTGGATACTAATTAGTATATTTTTGGACATTATTAATTATAATCCTTTGGTGCGAATGGCGCGCTTTCATTACAAAGTCAAGTGTCAGAATGATTAGTGAGGGGAAATAAACGTCGTCATTTTAGTGAGGCTAATGTTGTGCCAGTACACCGGTACTATCCGGGTAATATATCGGGTTCCTAACAATATGAATGAGTTTTTAACAAATAAAACATGCGTAAATATTATGTTGAAAATAAATAAAACTAAATGTAAAATGTGATTATATATTCTTGGAAATATACAATCTTTTATCTTCATTTGAATTAGCTATCATATGTTTATTGTCATATGATAACAATGATTTGCACTTGTTTTGTAACAAACCTTTGCACTCGAAACACCAATGTGGTATTTTACCTAAGAGTCAAAATCAGATATGTCAGTGCCAAAAGGCCTGTTCAAAAAATATACATGCCTGTCTTTAACTTTAAAAAAAAACGATGTAACAGTACGGTTTGTACAGGAAAAAGTAAGGAAACCTAACAGGAAAAACACGGCGGTGAAAACCCACGGTTAATATAACGCAGTGTGTATTATGCAGTCTCATATTGTGTGAAGGAGGTTATCAATTTATCTGTATTTTTTATGTGTGTTACCACGTAACTTCGCTCCTGGTACTCAGATTTTGATTTTTTTTTCATCGAAAAGTAGTGCTATGGGTCCCATTTTTTTATTAATTTACTACACTACTCAGTACATTTTGAGTTATTCTTCAAAATGCGTTACGAAAATGAAGAACACGACATAAAAAAGCAAGTAACCGTGGGTTTCTGTATCCAAAATCTCGGTTTAATACATATTGTCATCTCAGTGTTGTCAAAGATAATGACAGAGATGACGATATGTTTTATACAAAGAATTCGGTGTCAGAAACCTACGGTAAGTGGAAAACAAAAGCAGTAAATAACAATAAATATTGTTTTACTTTTTTTCTGGTATTAAAGTATAATCGTAAACGAGGTCAGTTTAAAAGTAGGTTATAAAGTAAAAAACATTTTTTCTTAATTTGCCTTCGCGTGTTGAAAACATTTATTTATGATAAGGCAATGTTAAATATGTACCCATATTTAACATTTGGAATATATTTTAATTATATTTAAACAACAACAGTTAATTAACTATGTTACAACTTAAATAATGTTTTTATTAGAACTAAACTACATAAGCGTTTTAAAGTCGTCCACTTTAGGTAATTAAAACTTACCTTATTAAAGTCCTTTCACCGTGGATGAGGGTATCCGGGGTAACCGGGTTGTTGTGGAGGATAGCCTGGATATCCTCCGGGAGGCGGGGGGTATGGGTAGCCGGGTGGTGGGGGCTGTTGCTCAATGATGACCGGCGGGTGATGGACGTGCACAGTCTGGGGTGGCTGCTGCTGTTGTTGGCCGCACGCGTTGGGACACAAGCAGGGCACCAGGCAGCAAGCGCTCAGTGCCATACAACAAGGGTTGCAGCATATATCGCAATCGCCGCAGTCGAACGAAAAGCAGAGACCCATCGTACTCGTATTACTCCTTTAAGTAAAACAATCAATGTCTTATACCACACGCTATCAGTCAACAATCTGACTACTTATCATTGTTTAGTCACAAGTTTTACGATTCTTTACCTTAACAAATATGAAATAAATACTTATATTGTGTGATAACATTGCAGGTGTCGCTAAATAAATTATGATTAGCTGACGAAGTTTTATCTCTAAGATAAAATGTGTACCTTTATTTACTTATGGTACAGTCACCATTGTAATGAAACATAATAAATTTGGTTGATATATGGTGTTTAAAAGTGAAATTATGACATGTTAAATATTAACTTTAATTAGATTTCTTCTTAGCTATGCGATAAGTATAATAAACTAACGTGGAAATAGAGGGTGATATAAACTTACCATTTTCAAAAAATATCAAATAACATTTAAAATATGTGTATAAGTACAGCATACGCAGATTACAAACACAATAAGAGTTAAAACAGGTGGAAAGGAATTATATATTGGACGGAAACATAGTTTGCAATCCTTATCTCACGTACCGAAGTAAATCGATGGATTACAAAAGTTATTGTGTAGGTTGATAAGAGATATGGCTTATAAATACCTAGAATTTTTTATTTCAGTTATTATTATAATTGAAGGAATCTATGCAAAGGTTATAAGATTAGGTACAGATTACAGAGGAGCACTTGAATAAATAAAAATTTAAAAAGAACTGGAACAATTCTTACCTACCTCACTTTACATCACATGACTATGTTAGTAGATAAAAGTGGACGACAATGTAATTAGTAAGCAATAAAAAACGAAAAAATATTGAAAAAAATTACCTTGCTTTTGACTAGAATTTCATAAAATGAGTCAAAAAATATGTGTACACCAGCTTATCCACCTGTTGCCCAACACTGACGGGCACAAACAACTATGAATCAAGTCGAACGCGATTCGTCACAGCGAGAAAATTATGACTTTACACACCTGCGCAATAACAACGACTAACTTCACTACAGACGTGTTGACTGCTTGATAGCAATATGAAACATGAAAACTCTAAATGGAAAACGTTGAGCGTGAGTCATGGTCGGCCATTGTAGCGTGAAATGAGACCGAACTACGTCAACCTTGCCGTGTCTACCTACAGTTGTTAAGATTCGATGAAACTCAGATTGCATCAGATGCGATTTTAAACGACATTTAATTATAAAACCTATCAGTCTTTAATCAAATGACTGTTCTCAGAAAAATAGTTTAGTAATTTTTGAACTGCTTTACCAACCAAATATTGTAGTCGTAACACAAAGACATAAGTGAGACAAACAATAAAACATAAAGTTGGAGCTTAGAGGAATGAAACTCATTACTTTTTCAAGATATTCTCAGCACCATATAAATAGCTTACCTATACCTACATCTGTTTTTACTAAATTCTTATAATATTGCAATTATCCCATTATACCAATAATCGCATTCAACGTAAACAATCAATGTAAATGTTGAGAAACTACGTCTTTACCGGTTTGCATTGCAAGAAGTGTAACACAACAAACGCCTCACGGTGACTGCACACAAGGTTGCAATACAATTTTTTTGCCGCACTTTTGAGACAGGCTGAATTATTCAAGGTTACGTTTACCCATAAATACGTAATTTTTCTCATTTATACAAATGGACACAAATATTTAAAAAAAATAGCAGATTATTTATGTACCACAAACATTGATAAAACGGTGGGACTTTTATTTGAAAACATATGCAACAGTTTTAGTTCTTTGAACTTTAAACTGTTTATATCATTTTTGTTACAGAACTTACCACGATATTATTATATACAAGATAGAATAAAAGATGGAGAAGAAGGGAATCTTATAAGATATATAATATTTTGAAAGTGGACGATTCCGCAACAGTATTTGTTGGGTGCACAAATGGGCCGGGTCGACGCTGAAAACCAGGACCACACAGAAGACAGGCGACAAGTGGAAACAATTCCGCGTTTCGTCGGATGGGTGGGAGTGACGGAGGTCTAATTTTAGTCTACATTCCTTTCCTTACCGTTTGTTATAAGTAAATGATTGAAGGGGGAAGTGGATTTGGCGGCGGAAGGGACACATAGGAAGAGGAAATATCCTAGAGGATATTTCCACCGCTTATTAAAGGTAGGCAACGCATCTGCAATTTCAGATATTAATGTTCAGCAGTCCCCTCGCTATTTCGGCCTTCGGTGAATACAGGTGTCGGCTTTACTTCTATGCCAACTTATATAAAAAAAGAAATACAAGTGCCATCTCTGACCTAACAAGAAACAATCGTATCTTAAGGTAAAATCATAAGCGCAGTATCACGAAAAATTAAAAATTATATATTATCATTCTGCTCGATTTAATAATACCCTAAACAACATTGATTATTTGAAAAACAGAGGTGTAATTTTTTGCTTACAATCAATCAAAATACAGTCAAATGTGCAGAAATATTTAGTTATCTTGTGTATTTACCAGACATATTAGTTTATTTTGGGTGTTACATTCGATACTACTGAAATAGGATTTAAATCTACGCTTCAAACTCAATAAATTTCTTACAAACGTTACAAATCATGACCATAATCACAATAATCTCAATATCTTATCTTGGACGTCACGCTCAATCAATGCCAAAGTTAGTCGGCGGAATTTTAGTCCGCTCTAGTACACCGGAGTAGAACGTACGCTTCGAAAATGTGGAAAACAAAAACATTGTAATGAGTGAAGAAGACATACCATTGATAACATTGGCTGGAACATCGAAAAAATACACAGAACATGTGACTAAAGACGATGATAGTGTGACACACGATAACAAAATAAAAAGAAATGACAAAAAATCTCTGCTGCGACGTCTTAAAAGTATTCGGCCTATATGGAAGTTTGGCAAAGTACGTAATCGTTTGCGAAAGATTAGCTGCTTAAGGGGATCCGAGGACGAGGAAGTAGCTATGATGGAAGTGCCGAGACATAGAAGTATTGATATAGGCGTTGGAATAGCTAGAAGAATATCTCTCTTTATATTCACTAGAAGATCGGTTTGCGTGCATCCATACCACCCTTACACACCGGCTCAGACTACAAGAAAAATTTACATTAACTTCGAAGATAGATAAAATATAGACTTTACTATTCAATAGTTGCCAGTTTAACTAGAAGAAACTGGATTGTACTAGCGATAAACAAAAGATAGGAGAAAGAAATTGGAAAATGCATGACTAAAATTTAGTCTACAAATTGTGCAGTATGGGAAATAAATATAATTTAATGGAGTCATGTAATAAATACTGTCTCTGGTATTCTATGTATGAAATTAACACTTAAAATACAATGATATTAAAATCATACTTGATAATCTCAATAATAAATATAAGTTAAAAAAATGTAAAACTTAAAAATAAAATAAGCTAAAACTATATAATATATTTATTTATAACTTTCATTTGTAACAAAAGCTGCAATATTTTAGTTTCCCCTGCCGAAACATCATTACAAAATATGTTTTTTTTTTATTATTTAAAAGATACCCAAATGCACGACATGATTTGTAAATTAGTGAAAAGCAAATTTTTACATAGTTTAACAAGTATACTAGGTAAATAACTGAGTTTAAACTAGAATTACTAATAAACCACGACTAGATGAAGTGTAATGGAAACATTTTTTTACCAATTTTCCAAAAAAAAAAAATTGTACTGTGTTCATGATTTTCTTTGTTTATACATAAATAGTGCATCATTTCCTGCAGCTTATATTATTTTAAGAAAACTAAAATAATAGTAATAATGTATATTACAATAATAAACAAATATTATTACATAATTATTGTGGTGTTATCACACATAATAATCCTTTACAAACATGTTGTAATACAAACATACACATTTGCTTTATGCAAGGCATATAAGAGAGTCATTGAACAAAAACTTTATATAAATAACTAAATATAAAATACAAAAAAAAACATTAAAATTACTGAATAAATAATGAAGGAAATATTGATAACATTTTCTATTTTCATTGGTTAATTACATTTATTACAGATTAATTGCTTTGTACATAGATAATACAAAAGGTAAATGATAAAAAAAATTACGTCTCACATGAATAATGTAATTACCGAATGACGCGCATATTTATTTCATGGTATTAAAAGAAATAAACGCTATTAATATCAAATTAATAGTGATAACATTGGGGCACTAATTTAAAGCATTTACTTATTTGTCATCTAGAGAAAATAAAAGTGTCATCCATTTTCTACCTGCCTTTTATTTCTTTACACAGCCATGGTTTAGATGAATTATAAATTACATAACATTAACAATATTTTAATGATAAATAATACTGAAACTATTAAATTATCATTGGTGGGCAACAATTACTGAGAAAAAAAAACTATCTACATAATTTTTTCTGTCACAAATCTGGTACAAAAGGTCCATTGCAATGCTAGGACTACTAGAAATCTACTAATATTATAAGCGAAGAGTTGTTTCACTCAAAAATTATTATACTAAATCTACATTCAAAAGGATACTACCATCCAGAAAAGAAATAATTTGATACATTCAGAATAAATAAATTAAAAATAAATTACACTTAATTGTTCACATATGCAATAGGTAACAGTAAATAAGTAATTTTTCAACTATCACAAAATCATGGACTAAAACTATATAATAAACACATTTAAATAATGTAATGTCATGTATATTTACCAGTACAGCCGTCCATAAAAAGATTAAACCTAAACAACTTATGTGAAAGAATAAGACATACATTACCATACAAAATTAATTCCACACAGGACACTGCACAGAGTGTAGGGAAAAACGCGTGAATAGGAAAGTTGTCCGTGCTTACAAATTATAACAAGCCAACATAAAGTTTGCATCTTATAATATTTAAGAGTAAAATCTACTAGATCAATATTAGTATGAACTATTCCTAAATACTGGTATACAAATACATATTCAGAACAAACTAACCTTTAGCTTTATACCCTTTGGCTTTTGGATGCAAATAAACTATTATAACAAACTGTGCTCTTAATTAACTAATACCCAAGATGACTCGTGATTCTTGTAGTAACCCGTTCATATATTTACTGATTTATTTCTTCCCCATCTCATATGTTCTCAATGTTGCCGCTTCTACGGCATTAATTAAGGTTGCCCTGAACAAAAAAAAATATTTAAAAAAGAGGTTAACATAAATATAAACTATACTTGTGAACTCAGATAGGTTAAATCATACTTAAGTGTCATTAAATTAAGAATTTTTTAATTTAATAACTGTAGATTTTTTTAATCTTACTAACATTATGAGAGTGTCGGTGTCTCAGGAGTCAAGCTCTTGACTTGCACTCTCCAGGTCCTGGGTTCGAATCCCGCGATGTACCAATGTGTCTTTTGATTACCGATTTGCATATGTACATATATCCGACGTTCTTACGGTGAAGGAAAACATTGTTATGCAACCTGCACATATCTGAGAAGAAATTCAAAGATACATGTGAAGTTAACCAACCAGCACTTGGCCAGCGTGGTTGACTATGGCCTAGTCACCCCTAACTTAGGGTAGGCTCAGAGCCCCTTGATGGGGAAGTATGAGCTGATGATGACTAACATTATAAAGGTGAAAGTATGTAAAGATATGGCTGGATGGCACAGGCAGGGTCGCAGAAGTCAGCCTCATTTATAAATAACATGCAACACATGAATAAGTACAAAATCATTTTATATACCTTAATCTTCCATTCTCCAGAGCAGTTACACCACAGATAGTTGAGCCACCTGGTGAACAAACTTCATCCTTCAACAGACCAGGGTGTTTTTTGGACTGTAACACCATTTCTCCACTGCCCACTAATACTTGAGAAGCCCAACGCAGGGCCATTGCCCTAGGAACACCCTGTTTTACTGCTCCATCCGCTAATGCTTCTATTACAATATACATCTGAAACATTTATATATTTTTTATAATAATATAGGGTTTTGAAAAAGATTTTGACATGCACATGGTGCAAATGTATTTTTGTTCAGCAACAAGTAAATTGCTATTTTATTTGTGAACATTTGCAATCCAATGTAGCTAATAAAGTACCAACATTCATCAGCTAACCAAAGTCAAATCGTCCCAGCCATTTTAGGTATTACCCATTACAAAAATATACTTGCAGATAGACAGGCAGACAGACAAACAAAAATTTTTTGATCTTTATAATGCACATGAAATATTATTTTTTAGATTTTCACACAGACACTCCAATTTTATGATGTATGTATAGATGTTTTCATGTATCTGTCACTTAACAAAAGATTTATTTTGATACTCTTTTCACTAAAACAAAAAAAAAAACATCTTACAAAAGCTGGCCCACAGGCAGGCAGAGTACCGCCAGAATTCATCAATGTTTCAGTGACTTCCTCACAAATACCACAACCACTCAGAACTTTCTCCAGAAGAGTGCATTGCTCCGGTTTGACTCTATCATCTGGTGTATATAGACAAATTCCTGCACCCACACTCATTGGTGTATTGGGCATAATCCTTATAACACTTGTGGGAAAGTTGAACACTTTGAATGCCTGAAAAATTATAAGAAATTGTAATAATCCTGCACTGTTTTTCTGTTATTGTAAAGGTTCATAAGTAACAGTACAATACTTTTGTTTTAAACATTGAATCATAACTATCTTGAACTTGGATCATTATTTTTATTTGTGTGAAAAATACAAAACTTTGGTTAATATTTATTAATTAAAAGCTAACCATTTATGCATCATATGATTAATAACATGTCATAAAGCTATCAAAAACACAAAACATGTATAAAAGACAAACCTTATGTAGATTTTCAATAGTGACACCAGCCAACATTGAAACAAAAAAGAAATTCTTACGAGGATAATCAGAAAAGGATTTAAGACAATCACTGAGGGCAAAACTCAATACACCAGGCTTAATACCAAGAAATACCACATCACATTTACTTAATACTTCTCCATTTTTATCTGTTACATTAGCACCCATTTCTTCCCAGTGTTTTAGGTGAGCTATATGAGGACCAGATACCCAAATTTGAGATGCAGAATAAGAATCTGAAATAAAATAAACCATAAGGATTAAATCAATGTAATAATTTATTTCTCTTACAAACTATAAGATTTACCGTAGAACCCAAATTAAATTGAGACCTACTCCTTTACAAACAAGTAAAGAATAAATACGAAAATTAGAATTATTTTTAAAAGCTTACCGTTTCTTAAAATTCCTTTAGCAATTGCTGTGGACATATTTCCGCCACCAATAAAACCAATAGTTAAAGACATATTTTATTTCACTTCAACAAGCTCCGTATCAATAAAAGATTTAAAATTATAAGTTCTTGGTATCGTTTTTATGTACGCAATTATTTATTTAACTGATTTGTAGGTAAATAAGTGTTAAATTTTTCGACTTTGATTTCAAATTAAGGAAATGCACGGAACTTATATGATAAATATGGATAAATTCGAAAATGTACGAAAATATGACGTTAACGACATGAGGAGGGAATGACATATGCCAATAGTCAGTCATATGTCATAGTTGCTATCAAGTTGCCATGCCGTTTAAAAAAAATTTCAATGATATCTACCAATTTCTACTGTGGTCATTACATATTTATCAAACTTTATTTGGGAAATGTTTTGTTAATTACTTACTTAATTGATTAATTTTCGTTACGTCGTTATGATTAGATCATTGTCAAGTTCATTACAAAAAAATCTAGGAGTGAATTAAAAACAAATAACTCCGGAAAACTGAACGTCGTGCACAAAACAATACGGCAACACTGACAGTTTGTGGCTTCATTTTCTAGGGTGAGGTGTCTCTAGTGCATTTTGGAATATTTTGTTGTCGTTTTAATATTTAAAATGCTGAGATAGTGTTAATTTCAAAAGACGCACAAATATGTGTCGTGGTAGTGAATTATCTCTTTATAGTTTGATTGAAGTGTAGTGTCCAACATGTTTCGATGTATACCTTTGTTCAAATGCAATCGGCAAGTGGAATGTGTAGACAAGCGGCATTGCTCTTTGCCAACAGTACCTGAAGACATCCTGAGATACTCCAGAAGTCTGGAGGAACTTTTTTTGGATGCCAATCATATAAGAGATTTACCTAAGGTATGATATTGGTCGACCTCAATTAATATCACTTACGATCGTGGGCGTTCACCTTATCATTACGAGGTGTAAATATTACTACGTTGTATATCATTTTATTTTTGTTTCATGTTGCTGTTGAAATTGTTTAAATGTTGTCTCGATTGATATCGCGATTCAGTTGATTAATTCAAATGAAATGACATAAAAAAATTACTATTTTTATTTACAAAAATACACAAGATACATACTATCATATATTTAGCACATACCAAAAACGTCACCATGTTAACATTGTTTTAATTTAGTTAATTGTTAGAAGTAATACTCAACATATACTTACCTCTGCTGACATAGTTTCAGATTTTAAATATTTTGATTTTTTTTTGGACAAATGATAATTAATAAATCAAGTAAAACCATTTTTTAATTAAAAAAACATGAGAACAAATTTAAGTGAAAGTTAATCATTTTGAAAAAAGACTAGCTCGCTCAACTTTTGGCTAGTGTTGGTGAAGGTATTATTATGTCTTCCATTTTTTTTTACTTTTACTATGTTGTTGTTATGAGCTCATATACACCCCCCACAAAGGGCTCGCAGCCTACCTAAATTAGAGGTGATATACGAAGCTGGTCTGATGCGGCTTGGTGGTCATGGTCACATATTCATTTGAATTCATTGATTGCTTATGAATAATAAATCCTTAAGTTAATTAATCAAACTATTCTATCAAAGTAAGATTAACATAGAAGCAATATTTGATAAAAAAACATTTATGTATGTTTTAATTCATAACTTCTGTCTTAACTTAATGGATGTAGGGCTATGTTTCAGTGAAATGTATTATTAATGCAAGTAATTATAATTGTTGCAGAACTTCTTCAGACTACATCGGTTGAGAAGATTAGGCCTTAGTGATAATGAAATTCACAAACTTCCATCTGACATTCAGAATTTTGAAAATCTAGTTGAACTCGACGTATCTAGAAATGGTAAGTGTTTCTTATTATTTACTTGAAACAGTTGTTTTAAATACTTATATGTTTTTTCCTAATTTCATATTGTTGCAAAGAAGTCTGAGGTCATGTTGCATTGGGAATCAATGTTTTTGAAATCAATGATTGAGATGAAACTAACTATAAATTATACAATAGGTCATGGAGATTTTCAAATTGGTTAATATAATTTTAAATTGAGTGCAATTAAAGAAAAATTTCTGCCAACTGTTGTTTTGAGTTAAAAGCATTGATGTACATAAATATATATAACATAGTATTAGTCCTATACAAAAACTATTTGCATCCTAAATCTTATTCTTGATAAAGGTCACTAGGTTGAGCAGTTTTGCTTAAATATTACTATCACTAAGATAGGGTGTATTCAACATGTTGCGATTATAATTTATTGTTTATAACAGTTAAGTCTAAATACATGTGACATGTTTTGAAATCTGAACCGGACATCGTGTCTCGTAACATTACCGAAAAGGTAACCACGCCATACTAGTGTATTGGGATTCGTATGCGGAGCGTGCGCCACGCTACGGACCGCATAGCAAAGCGTACCAACCACCTGCACAGATACTGTTCTATCGAAACTATTCTGCAAATATTCCTCTCCCATAACAATACAGAGTCGAATGCCCGGTGCGAATTGAAATTCCATCACGATTGCATGCTTCCCTTTCAAGTATTGTTTCGTTTTTTCATTTCTACTATTGTAAAATACAACTGAAAAAAGACAAAGGATAAAAATGCACGTAATCAAGTCTCAAAGAGCTTAGATTTTCAAGTCCAGTTTAAATTATTATAAATATTTTCTCGTTATTCAAAGAAAATATCATGTGTTAATTCTGAAATTAATCTTTGCACTGGTGAATTAATGACATTTGATTATCATAGTCTCCTTTATTTATGCATCACGAAAAATAATTCCTAATGATACTAACTGTTATTTCAAAACCATTTTTATTAAATCTTTTCGACTAATTATAATGATGAATTTTAAACATTGGTTAACATTAAGAAAACATAACAGTCGGTAATAAATCCTAGTACGGTGCACGGGGACGCCTCACGTGAGGTTTCCGCCAAGCGGCCTTACTCGTCCCAATAAATCTCCACTTAACGCCTTCCTTTGTACACTGTTTAGTACTAGATCTTGCAAGGTTCTTTTATCAGATGTATCGCACTACGGATTATAACTCCATAGTATCTGTCTGTCGAACAAAAAAATTACTTAAAGAATTTTCGTGAGCCTTCAATATGCGGAATGATTCACAAGGAAAGACTATTTGATTCGTGTATAACGTCACTCTGCCTACGTCTGAGGTTTTTCGGATTTTCCATTGAAAATTAGTTATTATTCTGACAGTATAGTAAAATGGAATAAAAACCGAATTGGTAAGTTCTTTGTAAAGCTGATGCTCGTTTAAAATAATTGGAGAATATGGAAATATATCAATCAGATATACACTGTCCATTTGTCGTCAGTTCCACCGTTTTTGGCTCGAATGTCGTTCACTGTTTTTTTATTCCGGAAAGTAAGATTTTTCTTTAATAAAATCAGTGCCAAAAATAATGGTTTCGTTGATTTTTGTACGGAAACACTGTCAGAGTATAATTTTAAATTCTTTTAATTATAATTTTGTATAATCAGGTGTCCGCAAACTTGGAACAAACGATCTATAGTCACTCGGCTATCTCGATGAGATTTATAACGTGATATCAAAATATCAATAGCTTGAGTAATAAATTACAGTGCTTTATAATATTTACATAATACTTTACAATGGTCTCTCGAGTAACTGTTCGGTCATTGCGTCCAATCTCGACCCTGGCGCTTATATAATCTGTAAAGGCTTGTCAGTCAGCCTGATGGCGTATTGTTTGGAGACCTTTATTGTATGGTTCTAATTACATTGCTCCAACATTCTTGTGTTTCGAAGATTCATAAAACAGATATCCACTTTTTCAATAATTATAGTAAATAAGGGTCAGAATTTATTTAAACACAAATTTACACAGATTTATTTTACAACATGTTTGTAAATTGTGGCCCTTGAGTGCTCCAAACGTGTCCAGTATTGTAGGTAATGCTGAAACTGTAACACGGAACAGACATGACACTTTACAAAGCTTTAGAATGTTGGGCGTGATGTAAATCTCTTTGTAGCACATCAAGAGACCAGATTATGTTCGTATAAAAGTGCCAGCGTGTTTTAAATCTTTATTCCGCCTTTATTGTGCTATAAAAGAATATTATACCAAGACAGTGACAAAGTGGTAAAAATAAATGTCCCGTTGATATTATAATTTGATTTGTAAAATGAAAATTTCGTGCTATTGTAAGGAACTTAATTACATGAGAATATGTGATGTAAATAGATAGTATATAAATTCTTGTTTAACTTTAAACATAGTTCGAAATTACCATGTTCATTTGAGCTAAGTTTATATAACAAGGTTATATATCTAGTAGCTATATTATGTAGTTAATGTTACCATAACATTACCAGCGATGCGTTGCACGCGTATAATTTCCGAGCGGTACGCTACTGGGTACCGTTTTAATGTCGTCAACGACTTGATCACTGTCTTGCCTTATCTAAGTGTTACCATGCACATTCAGCATGCGTTATAAAGACATACGCGATAATGAAACTAAGAAAATCTGAGGTTACATCGATTGCCCATAGTTTTACCAACGGAGGGTCGGCACAATATGTAGGTATATCAATTTTTAATAAGTCTCTATCAGCCATCATATCTGAATTCGCTTCTTTCTTACTTTACCTAATTTATGTGAATTAGAAAAATATGTATTATTAAAGTTTGTGTTTTTGTAACGGAATGGAATTTACTGTTATATAGCACAGTAAAATATTTTATTTACTATTATGTCGGATAATATTATAACAATTTGCAGTAAGGCTTCTCAGAATGGTGACAAACCGCAACTTGAGTATTTTTCATACAACCCAGCCTTTGTGAGCCAGGTTCTAAACAATCGTTACCACATTGAAACCACAAGAAATGTCTCGTGGTTGAACTGCACAACATACTATATGTTGCTACGTACTATATATGTTGTACTGTTAAGATGTATAATTTTATAATGCTTCAGTTTACCACCTTATTTAAACCTAGATCTAGATCATTTTGATCTCGTGATTATTATTACAATGTTAATGTTAAGCTGTCGAGGAAATTAATTTCCATTTCCGTCAAATATTATTTGAAACCCATTATGTAAACAGATGGAAAATTTGTCTTATAACATAAGAGCTGCTAAATTATAGCTCTTAAGGTGATAGTTTTGTGCGTGATATTCCATTCTAAGTGAGATATAAATTTAATTCTTTGACTATACAGTTATAGACATAGAAACAAATACCAATTATTAGACCAAATGATGATGATACTCGTAGCTAGTTATGACGTAAGTTAACAAGTTAAATAGAGATCAAACGTCACGCAATTGATAAAATGGCAGCCTGTGCGTGATCGTCGCGAGTTCAATAAATAGACATTAGCATAATAGAATAACAAAAGCGAAAGCGAGTAATTAAAAATGCATAGAGTTGTTTTTATTAACTACACTACAAATCTATCTGTCGCCCGCGAGTCTGTCCACATGGAATTAAATATAAAGTTAATTAGTAGCCTACTTGTGCTTTCACGTTACGTTCTATATCTATGCCGAAATTCGGCAAGATTTATGCAGCCGTTTTGGAGACCTATACAGGAGACAGATACCTTCTAATAAACATCTATCCATCTAAACATTCGCATTTGTATGTATAGGAAGATAGAGTTGTTATTGTCGTATTTAGCGATAGTTCGCGTAGATTGAATGAATCACAGTATACAAAAAAAACCTAGATCCTACCACCGTATTTTTTTACAAATGTAAATCTCTTTTCATATCATACGAATGATATTAGAAAGCTTTCAAGCTGATTAATAATATCATAAACCAAAAAACTCTTAAAAGCACTTCAATAGATAAATATTTGGACGGTAATATTTATTACCTCTATCATAAATGATATGGTTCGCTTGGAAACAATCCGGATCCCATAAATTGGAACAGGGCTATTGTAACAATTGAACGAGTGAAATAGATACGTTTGTCAATTTGGTCAATGTCAATTCTATGGTGCTCTTGGTTGATATAGCTACTATTATTGAAATTTATGTGCAAAAATTATAATAAAATAAGTATGACTACAATACATAAGTTATGTACAGCTTTATGTTGCTAGATTTCTAATAAATATTGGGTTTAAGCAGAAACGCGCTATTCATTTCATTACAGCTCCATATTAACATCAAAGCAGAGAGTAATTTCCTTATCTCCAACGTGGAAGCCATTTTAATAATTTCCATCTTCCTGGAAGGCTCTTCACGGCATTATATGGTTATCATATAATTTTATTAATATTGCTACTCATATTTTTTGTATTTTGAATAACTATTCCTTCAGCTTTTTGCTAGTAGATTTAATAAAAAAGTTGTAACAAATATTGATTATAATCGTCTTAAAGCTTTTTTAATTTGAAATTTTTGCAATGTAAAGATTAGTGTTAATGTTATATTTATCCACACTGAGTGACCACTCAATAATTCCGAGTGCATCAGTTAATACTACATAAGGAAGTATTCGTCGGATAGTAGAACATTCTACATTTACAAACTCGAGCTTTCCCACGGTGCTGGCTTCATCTAGTATAGCGACTAGCAACCGTTGTTATAGCCTTGTCTTGTGATGTCTGTAAAATCTAACGTCGGTGTAACGGTTTCGTACCATTATCTTTATATTATGCACTAGGTTTTATACAAGACGACGTCCTAGCGGAATTAAAAAAAAAACTAGTTAATAAATGCAGCCTATGTTACTCAGTGATCATTTTGATTTCGAATGGCACAAGAATTTTAATTTTTTTTTTGTGAAATATTAGCAGATTTTTAGTAATTTTACTAATATTTCT